TATTATTTATTTGTACATCAGGAGTGAGTCCTCTCTGCGGAGACTGCCATGTTTTTTACAGTAGTCCAAACTGGACAAACTCAAAACCATTTGAGTTTTTATGACTGCAGTCTACCACAGGTTCTCCATGTTTGGAAGGGGAGCGTGAGGGGTATTCAGCTGCAACATGCAACTTCACCACTAGATGTCATAAATTCTACACACTGAACCTTTAAGACATTTAAGGGTAAATGTAAAATTGTGTGCACTTGCTTAAGTTTATTTATAGTATTATAACACAAAAACTCTGAACCATGCAGATTAGAAAAAATATTTCATCAACAACTAACCCACAGCTCCTCACATTATCAGCCTTTTGTAATTAATGAAGGATTTATTATCATGAGACACTAAGAAGACAACACACCCGTCTTATGTCAGGAAACTAACTTTACTACAGTATTTTTCCTCTTTTCTACATTGCCCTTATCAAAGTAGATGGACACACACATATACATAGAGATTTTGAGGGTATTTTTACCATCTGTCTGACACTGACAAGGTCCAAAAGGTGAATTAATCCAGTAAAATGGCAAAGCAGCCTCATAGAAAGCTGGTGGCTGAGCAGCTTTAAATCATTTCATGAGACATGAGACAGACATAAGGGTCTAGAAATCTAAATCAAACTGACTTTTGGTCTCAGCTGTCCATGTTGTGTGCTCCATATTTATCACACTTCCTCGAGTATTAACTGGGGAAAGTTCTCTTATAAAAGGAGATTAGAAAGCTGTCAGGCTGCTGCTGTCTCAGATTTTGTCAGTGTTCTCTTTGGCGACAAAATCCCTTCTGGTGAGAGCAAAGGGATCAGGGTCACTGACAGTTTAGTAGAGAGAAGAGGGTGCAGGGGAAGTGCTGCTCAGCAGTACAGCAGAAGACTGGATATTTTCAGCATCTTTGATAGATGCACAAAAACGAGCATTGAAAGAAAAGGGAATATTGGACTTAATTCAAGTGAAAGGCAGGTGGAAGAGCCAGAGCAGGGGCCTGTTGAGCGTTGAGACAGAGAAGGTCAGATGGAGGCAGGAGGGCAGGATGAAATGTGGAGGTGGAGGATGTCGTGGAAAGAGAGAGAAATGAGTCAGGTGGTGGAGGAGAGGACCATATGGAGACAGGGAGAGAGGAAGGGCAGAGAGACTGTGCCAAGCGGGGAAATCACGAACGGAGAGCAAGTCGCTTGCAGAGAGCAGAATGGAGACTGACACAAATTGATGGTCCAAGACATTAAGGGGCTGCGAGCGGAGCAGGCTCCAGAGAGGAATAATCCGACGCCAATTTCATCTTTATGAATGAGTGGAGAGGCAGAGAGGGAAATATCCACGGGACACAGGAGAGGAATAATGAAATGATTATTCTGATTGTGCTGCTTATCATTGGGATAATAATGAATCGTCTGTGGAGAGGAGGTCACACAGTACAGCTGCACATCTGACGATGATACAAGAGTGAATGTCTGTGAATGGCGAGTCAGTAATCAGTCAGTTATAATTAATTACAGATACAATGGTCAAAGTCAGAACCAGCGCAGAACAACAAACAGTGGTGCAGGGCTCACTGAGCATTACAGTGACAGACTCACATACAGTCAGGATCTGATGTGTGGCTACAATAACAGGTTTTCAGTCAAATCTACACTGCAGTCAGATCTATAGAAATTGTGATCACGCTCCTGATTCAGAGATAAGATGCCAAAATAACCCATCCTTTATGCGGAGAGAAAAACTCCCTCGGCCAGTTGTCACCATCACTGGTCACCGTCCATACTGCTGTGGTCAAGCCATGTTTAGAGTGAGGTTGGGTCCGTTTGATGGAGTGAAAAAAAGCACCCAATCCAGAGATCATCATTTCCAGAGGCCGCAACCCTCAAATATACCTCCCATTTTGTGGTATGTAATGTAAGCATATGGTTGTATTTGTATGTATGGGGCGTATATAAATATGTGTAGCTTTTCATATTTTAAAACATACAATTTCATTGATGTGAAATCCTTGTTCATATTCAGTTGTTAAAGGTGAACATGAATGTGTCAATCAAGTTTTTAATCTCACCTTGTTTCACCTCCGGCTGTTGAGCTTATTCATTTGTTTGAACCTATTTATTTGCTTTGAATTTAATTTTACATACTGTATTTATTCCTGAGGCATTTACATGAATTGTTAATTTGCAAACTTTACTGTGTTTTTATTTTGTTTTCCCTGTGTCTTGGATTGTTTCGTTTATTTTCTGCACTCGGCTACTTTGTAAAAATGGTCTCTGCCTCAACGTTAATGAAGTCAAACTCAGACTCACATCTGGAAGGACTGTGTTATGGGGCATAAAGTCACTCTATAACCACCCAAACCACACAGTCCTCATTTCATCTACTTTATTGGTGAACAGAAAAGGGGGGTTACTATGGAAACTTTGGGAATTAACTGAACTTCAGACACTCTAAGATATAGCAAAGAGGAGGGATGTATAAAGTTCATTTTGGAAAATGATTATCTTAAAGCTTGCGGTTAAATATTTCATACTCCACTCTAATTAAAATGATTTGGTCTGAAGCCAGTGTATGGCTCATCTGTTTTCACCAGCTTGCTCATCCATATTCCAGCACACACTTGTCTGTTTTAAAATAATTTGCACAGCAGGTTGGTAGCCTCTGTGTTCTGGGTCCTCTCTTTTTGTACCTCGTGTTCATTTGTTCTCTTTCTTTAATGCGGCCCAGCATATTAGCATATTATGTGTAACTCTCATAATCTAACTCAAAATGAATAACACTGCAGTGCCCCAAACCATTGCTGTGATTGCACAGTGATTTAAACCACCCATTTGCATGTTTTAATGCATGAGGAGCCAAGTGGGGTGAAATTCAAAGTTGTAGATAAGAAAACTGCCATACTTTTTAAATATACAAATGTGAAGGTTTGTGGATGCTGAGTGACACCTCTGTTTCTAACTATTATCTGAGAATACATTAAACATCTGCATATCTCTGCTTGTAGGTCGCCAATGCAGGCTGTTGCTCTGTTCAGCCCAAACAGGCCAGAGCACCATAAAATCTACTAAATATATAGATATTATATACTTTTGATGTCCGAATGTGGTTTTATGAAAAGAAGTGGTTACTGACTCACTCATGTAACCTGTGATTATAAAATCAAATGGTATGTAACACTGTAAAAACCATTTACATATATCTAATATTGAAACACCTATACAGCAGTTTATCCATTTTCTTACGGCAAATTATTCTCAGCCACTCGTTATAATAAACATCTTCAGTGGGTAATTACTGCACTTACCTGTTATCTAAGCCCTAGTGGTGCTGCAGCCGCAGCGCTGCAGAATACAGCACAGCAGAATACAGCACAGCAGAATACAGCACAGCACAACGTGTTTCTAACTTTCACCATGAATGAGTCTATACTGGAGCAACGTGCTGCTGGGCGGCGACAGCAGGAGAGATGGTGCAGTGCTGTTTCTGCCCTTACTATAGTCTCAGAGGTGCTTAACATCATTACTGCCCTCCTGTCACCACAGCAACCGGCCTGGCAACATCCTCAGCAGTGCCTTTGTTTAGGCATTTACTGACTCTCTCTCTCTCTCTCTCACTCACTCTCTCTGTTATCAGGTGCTTGTTGATGCAAATGTATGTCACACACAGCACAGAGTCAATCACAGCTATCCTCATGTCACTAAGGCCTCAGTGTGGCCTTTAAGTGAATGAATAACATTCATTACTCATTCATCCTAACAGACAATCAACTTTATTAGAACACCTCTCCATCATGCTCTTCCTCTGGTCCCACTGTGCATTCAGTGCTCCAGCGGACGTGGCCACATGCTGCTGCACTGGCTGAAGGTTTAATAAAGCTAAAAGGTTGGTCGCCCCCACACCTCTCTCTCTTCTCTCTCAGTAACCTCACTCATTACTGAAATGATCAGGTCAGCTCTCATAGCTTAAAATCTACACTGTGCCTAAGAAACAATACTGTGAGTCTCACAAACATCTTTCTGTAAAAAATTTTCTCCACACACTGAAGTAATCAGGGGCAGATATGAAAAACCACAACGAGTTCTTACACATACATAGTTTCATGGTAGGTTTTGCTCTCAGGAGTTTTACGTCAAGGAGACGAACTAGTTAAATATCTATAATTTATCAACAGAAACTCTGTAGAGTGCACAGACATATCTCTGAGAGATGTATCATTTCTCAGCCTTGAATAAAACATGTTAAAGGAGGTTTTAAATCTGTGCGGCTGAAAGCACCTTGTCGCACTCCGTGCTGTATATACCTTTGTATTCTATAAAACACGAAAAGCCACAGTATGTCTCATGTTACAGTAACACCACACTACACACGGTGGCAGGTGGTGGAAGGTAAATAAACACATTTACGTCATGACTACACCAGAGTGCAGCTACTTTATACTTCTGCTCTGTGATATTTTTTAAATATTATACTTTTTACTCAGTGTTGGTCATTCTTTGCAGACAAAGATTTTATGTATACAACATACAGATCACTTCTAAAACATGATACATGTTTATAGCTTTAACCACCAGACTCTAGATACAATTACTCCACATTGAACAGCCATAACAATACAAGGCTACTATGCATCATTGTTAACAATTCAATAATAGAATAATTCATAACTTAACACACAGACCAAACTTCTCTGCACAACTAATTTTGCTGAAAAACCGTTTGTGCTTTTATCAAACTAGCATTTTTAATACTTTAAATAAGTATTGTCATATTGTGATATAGTGGTGGTGGTGTGATGTTTTTAGAATATGTAAATATGATACCATTATCCAACACTTACCTCACAACATCCTGAGAAAAGTAAAGCAGCGGCCGCAGTTATTTGTTTCTTAAACACAGCACAGTCACAATCTCTGTTTGCATAATAATTTATTCACATATTTTTTTTACATACTATATATTATTATTATTATTATTATTGCTGCAGTTCAGGAGCCTTTCAATTATTCTCTTTCAATATTCCCACAACGGGAGTCTATGTTGATACCTCTTTATATTTTTCATCTTCATGCATGCTGAGTATTACATTTCACAGGAGCAGGATGCAAATAAATTAAACAGTCTCTTTTAAATACATGTCATAATCTATCCATTCTATTAATGCTTGAGTAACATGCCTTTTTCAAAGTCCATAGGGGAAAACACTTTTCTGAACGTATACTCTCCATTAGAGGGTGAAGGCTTAACAAAAAGCATGTTAATAATACATATTGTTAAAGCTGGCAATCTAAGATTAATCTTCATTACCACCCAGATCCCTGTTCCCCCATCCAAGTGAAGCCCCTCGGTACGGCACAGGGAAAAGGCTACTTGTACTTAATACATTTCATCTATGTACAGTAACTTTGAAAAAAAAAAAAAATATGGCACCAAATCTGCTTGTGAAAAAAAGCTTGAGATTACACATTAAAATATTTGTGATTACAACACTTGTCCTGTTAAGTTGAAAAACAAAACATTTCTTAATTCAACTCCATTAATCTCCTTAATCAGTGATCGCACTTTACAAACTAAAGTGGAAACACTGATGGCACACAGTTCTGAGAGTAAACAGCATACCTTGCAGGCGTTGGGAGCACTGCAGTGCGAAACACCATATTGAAAAGTAAATCTAACTCATCTATACAATGTGTCTCACTTTGAGCAAAGCTCCTGGGCAACATTAGAATGTAGTCAGAAGGGAAGAATATGAAGAAGAATAGTGACAACAAATACTGTAATGTGTCAAATACCAGTTTACACTGACAGTTTTAATACTGCTGTTTTTTTTGTGTTTGACTTTGTGTAAGTTTCTTAGTACTTGTTAAAAAGATGCTTGTTCGTCTGCCAAATGGCTCCACTCAAAGACTATGGACAATGAGAAATAACATTATCTTTCTCTCAGTAGCTCGGATTAGCTTAGCATTCATTTTTCGGTCTCAAAGTCAGAGATTGGCTTTTTTCCCCATACACATGCGTATGCATGCACACGCTTAAGCTCTTGCATATGCAAATATAACTAGAAACTGAGGGGATTATTTCTGACCTACAGCAAAGGCAAATAATGAAAAAACAGATAATTCGACCTCAGACATTGTTCTTTTCATTTTAATTTGATTTCATTAAGTGTTAATTAATTGCTCAGTTGTATATGTTGGGTTCTTTGAAGGCACCTAGTGTCCCTAGGCAGAGCAGAACGCTTTGTTTCAGCACCACAGTTGCTTTTTTCGAGGAAAGTGATTCATCTCTCTTCAAGTGTCAAAGTCTTTACTTTGTAAATTGATGCCTTATCATGACCACACAGTCTGTCCGTCTGTGCTCCTGAATAATAATGCAGTGGTGAGTTTTGTGCCCTAATGGTCTGGGGTCCTGGGCCGGGGAAAAGCTCTTCTACAAAATTTAAGAGGTCCTCAAGCCCCCAGGCTGACAAGCCTCTGTCAGACGTAGGCTGACTCACTGGACTGGGTCCTGCCCAGGTTGGGGGCCTGGGACAGGTGTGAAACATCCTTCTTGCGCACTTCACAAATGGACTTCCTTCGAGCCTGCACCCCTTGCATGGCCGTCTTTATCTTCCTCCAGCCAAGGTGGTTGAGCTCAGCCAGGTTGAGCAGCACACATATGCCACTCACAGCAAACATAAAGACCAGAAACACGGTCTTTTCTGTGGGACGAGACACGTAACACTCCACCTCCTTCACACATGGGTACCGGTCACACTCAAACATCCCTGGTACGTTGAAGCCATACAGGAAGTACTGGCCGGCCAGAAAGCCAATCTCAAGCGCGTTTCGGAACACTACCTGGATGACGTAAAAACGCGAGATGCCTTCCTGCCGTCGCACTTTAGAACTCTTATGTGTTTGAGGGAGTCCTCTGGGTCCATTGGGGATCTCCTTGACCTCCAGGCAGTCGTGATCCTCCTTACTGCTGTCAGGGTGCATCAGGATGCCATTGATGTTGCGAGAGTGAAGCTTGCGAGCGTGATGATCGTGATGGCGACCGTGGTGACCGTGACCATGGTGATCCATATACGGATGCAGGAGAGAATAGCTTCGGTCACGTGCCTTGGCGGACTGATGAACAGAATACGTGATGAAGCACAGGCTCGGTGTGCACACCAGGATGATCTGAAAGACCCAGTAGCGGATGTGCGAGATGGGGAAGGCCTTGTCGTAGCAGGCTTGGTTGCAGCCAGGCTGCATGGTGTTGCAGATGAACATGATTTGCTCATCTTCATACACCTTCTCCCCCACTATGCCGACTATCAGGATCCGGAAAATCACCACCACTGTCAGCAGGATCCTACAGAGAGACAGAGGGAGAAGGAAAAGGGCAGAAGGGGAGGTGGTGAAAGGGAGAAAGACAGAGTCAGTTAAAATCTAGCAAATGCACCGAGGTTCAGGAAATATCTGGGTCTGATTCTGACAATGTGATGATTGCCTGAGTTGTTCTGGTTCATGTAATAAGTGATGTTGTTTTGCATGTTTGTTTGAGTGGCGGATTGTTAGATACTACTAAAGGGATCAAATAGCATTACGTTCATCTTATACTTACATATCAGAAGCAAAAAAAAGAAAACAGTTTTGTACATGTAAATCTGTGTGTGTGTGTGTATATATATATATATATATATATATATATATATATTTATATATATGAGCATGCATGATTGTGTGTGTGTTTTCATGTGTTCTCACTCAGCTGCCGTGACAAACAACACCATAGGATGGTGGAGTTGCGCTCCAGATAACACACAAGCTCACTAATCACAAAAGACTGTAACTGGAGGGGTTGTCAGACGAAAGGTGGTATCACACTCATCTTCACTGCTGAGCTAAAATGGAACATTGCATTCATGATATCAGCATGTGTGACTGCAGACACACACACGTGCTTACACAGCGACTGCTATTCACTGATTCAAGGAACAGTGTGATAAAATCAATGGGTTGTGTTTTTCCAATGAGATGCATCCCTGCCCTTTTGTTTTATCTTATCATTAATCTCTACACTGTTGCAAAGCTATTGAATACACGTTGAACCGCTGCAGAAAACAAACTCATGTCGCCTAAAATTTGTAAAAATGGAGGCTCATCTCATATCTCCTCCTGTGAGGGTCACCGTGTGTACACCAATTACTGGTAAGAGTGGGGCGACTTCCCGTTGAGCAGCATTATTTCATCGCTGCAGTGATAGAAAGCTGCGTCCAGGGGCCACTGAATCTGGAGAGCAGTGCAGCTGTTAGGCTTCTGAGAGACTGGTGCGCTATAGTGTTATCTTCTGGTGTCGATCCATTGTGAGGCACTGCGGAGGAAGACTGAGGCTTTAGGACTGCGCGGTCAGCTCTTTCTAATGAGCGACGAAAGCCTGTACATCATGGGGCTCCCCGCTATTTATGCCACAATGCAGTGGCTGTGCACGCTCCCTGCACGGAGGAGCCGATTACTGAGGACACACTTGTTTTAGGCCACCCAAGGTAACTAAAGGGACAGAGATAGATTGGACCTCGTGGATTACAACAACTGGGAAAAATGGCTGTTAGCCTTTAAGTCATGTGATGTAGGTGTTATGAATCCTCTGCATTTTAAATATGTCCATGAAATATGTGTCTTTTTATGATTGTTTTTATCCACACATCAAATGAGACTCCATAGCACATCTTTTTATCCCGTCTACGGCCAGGTACTACAGCAATGAGTGAATTAGTGAAAGGTGAGTTTCTGCAAACGAGTGTAATCAAGGGAAAAGAGGTGGAGACACAGAGGTTGGGAGAAAAAAGTGAAAGGTCTTAAATGTGTTTTACTCCTCTGGGATTGGCAGTCCGTGAGAGCCCAGCGGAAGACCGGTAAAGAGTTAGAGCACAGGAACATGAGTTAGTGTGAAACAGACTTAAAATAGAGCAGCGCGACGCTGCAGGACTGTTTCTGCTCCACCTGCGAGAGTGTTTTTGTGTGACAAAGACAGACACAAGGACACAGAGACAAAAGGAGAGAATCAGCCATGTGTGTGACTTGTGCAAAATGGCACACGTGTCAGGCCGTCTGTGCTCGGAGCAGCTGCTAGTAGATATGCTACACTGACTTTTATTGTGTTTGGAAAACTCTGCAGAATAAAGCTTGTCTGCACCTTTGGTCCTCCAGAAGCCAAATGCAAGTCATGTATGTTATTTGGACGCTCAGACACTCTCTGATCCTTTGCTGTGAGCCAGATGTATCTGCCTGTATTGGTCATTTCACAGCAGTGGGTTTGACCTGAGGTTATTGATGGTTCTCTGCACCACATGGAGTCATCTGAGGCATCCTGCTGCACTGAGATAGAAATCTGTAGTCGATGCTGCACGTTTGTATGCAAATATTTGTTTAAATAACAGTGGGAATGTTAAAATTAGCTCATGTCTGTGAGAATCTGCGGCACTGCTGATGTTAAGCACTGTAAAGATAAAATGAAGCATTCAGCATATCCGTGTTCACTTTCTGCTGAGACTCATCCCATGCCAGGGATAATTACTACATCGTAACAGCATTAGCTAAATGTCACTAAGTCTGCTTGCAACCCACATGTCTGCATATTGCACACGCTCAGAGATTGGGAAGGCTTTTTTTGTTCAAATGTGTTTGCTGATGTTAAATATATACAGTACATCTAATATTTTTCAGATGGGGAATTATATTATTAATAGTTGTTATGGGAGCTCAACAAAATAAAAATAGATACCACTAAATTGGAAATATATTGTTTATGTTGTGTGCGGAGCTGTGACTTTCTCATTACAGAGTAAACACTGTTATCCCTTATCCAAACATATACTATTCATATAATATTCATGAGGCTGCACTGGATCCAAGGATGTTGTTTTCTTCAATTTTTTTCATTTTTGTTAATGTTGTCATTTCTTTCGTTGTTTAGCACATTTTATTCTGTCCCTTCACAATCGCTTTTTCTCAGACAGGAACCCCCCAAAAATACAAAACAGAAATAATATGACACAGGTATAATATGCACAGAAATAATCCAGATTATTTACAATTACATGTACGATTATTTTATGACATTTTATTTTGTTTAGATGTGTTTTTTGTCACTGTTGATAAAGAAAATGTTATTAATTTATAAGTTTTAAAGATGTCCTTCTAAACATCGTTTACAGTTTATGGGCATAAGTGAGACAATGTGTGAAATGCTCACATTCGCACTTATACATATACATGATGTATAAACTCAATTATGTTATTTTTACGGAAACATGCTTGAAAACGTGTATTCAACATTAAATAGACATAATTCTTATCACCATGAATTCGCCCTGAAATGCAGACAATGTCAGTGACTGCCAGCAGGGGATTTGGTTGTGCTGTTTAATTTCAAAACAAAGGGATTAAGTGTATAAATTAAACCATGGATTAGAATTTGTGTGAATGATTGTGACAGGCTGTGTGGGACCAACACTTTCAGGCAGCAAGAACAAGTAAAAAAAGTATTGATCACCCGACTCAAAACTTTTAACAGCCTCGCTGCTTTATGTCTTTACACAATGAACCTTTGACCACCTATAAGCACAAACTGTTTTGTTTGTGTGTTCATTTTATCAATGCATGAGTTGGATTGATTGGATTGGATGCAGAATAAAAGGCTGGGAGGATATTGTGGACCACAATGGATAAAGCTTTTTGCTCACTGGAATTTTCTGTTTGACGTATTGCAGTTATCACTCTGGACTTTGTTTGCTGGGCAGTTTTAGATGTTTAGAAATTTCCAAGACACTGCAAATATTGAGTGTAGTGCTGTGTGCGTTTGCAGGCATGCATGTGTGTGTGCGTGCATCTGTGCGTGCGTGTGTGCACTCCTCTGCTGGACGACAGGATAACCAGCACAGGGCAGATTGCTGCATTAGCAGAAAGCATGTGGACGAAGGTTATCTGCAAACATCAGTGTTTTAAGCACTGCGGAGTAACGAGCCAATACTGTGTGTTTGAGCAGTTTCGGGTGAGAAAGCTCCACGGCCTGAACCTGCAGAATATTCAATAACTCCCATAAATGATGAAAAGGATTTTTCACAATTTTTAGCATCTCAATCCTGAGGGGCTGAATATGAAAAGAGGACCACTTGCTGAGTCAATTCAAAAAGGACAACATGAAGAGGATGCACATGCTTCCAGACACCATGAGCTGCTTGCTTCCTGTAGGACATCCTCTCAGTTCAGACTCATTATTAGTATTCTTAAGACTTATTTAATCTCAACACGTTAGACCCTTTCCTTATTTTCACTTTCCTCTGTTGCATCGCTGACAGCTGGCATTTTCACACAGTGCAAAGACCAACAGCAGCTCATAGCTAACAAGAAGACAGAGTAAAGATTAAGGACACGATGCTTCACGGCTGCAGAACTCTGAAGACTGATCTGTAGGCAGCTGACTGACCTGTATGAGTGTGTGTGTAGTGGAACGATAACTGCTCTTCAGCTGGTGTATCGGCTGGACATGCAGGCTCCCTCTTTCCCAGAGGCTTTTACACACTGACACACACACACACAGACACACACACACCCACACATACCTTCATTCATACAGCAGCTGCTGTCACCAGCCTCCAGGGACAGATATGACCCGGAGCACAGCAGCAGATGCAATGGGAAACACGCACACTTCTTCTACTCTCACGCGCATACACACTCTCATACACACATACTAAATAAAAAATCATTCTTGATTGTGTCTGTGTCAATATTAACAAACACAAAAATACACATATCTCTGCACATGTAGGTACACAGAATGTCTTCTAAAAGACGAGTGAGTTCAGTGTAATCTGTGCAGAGACCCTGAGTAAAAATATTCCTCCCGCCCATACAGTCTTTATACTAAGCTCTACTGATTGCTGATGGCAGCTCATAAGGAATAAAGACCTCAGCAGGCAGAGAAATTAGGCAGCTTAACTGTCAGGGCGCAGATATTTCTTTCCTCTCGCCCCTCATCTACTGTTTGTCTCTCAAACTGTTTAATACGATCAGGTCTTGCCCACGTATCAAGCAGACATGCATGACCACCGGAGGCGCCACGAAGAGTTGGTATGACGAACACACTAATTTAAGACAAATTTGAGTGACTTCAGAAGCAGTGGTTCACTTATTTCTGGCTTCTTCTTCAAAAACAATCAGCAATATTTTACTGAGAGTATTAAAAAAAATGAGGAAGGCACATCATAGAGTCAATCTATAAGCATTAAATACCTGCGGCCAGTCAGTCTTAGCAGAACATACCTGAAACTAAGGATCATCAAATTTCTCAACTCTTTTTCTGTGTTT